TACCTTAGAGTCATGAAATCAGTGTTTTGTGGTTGACGATTGTGCATTGACATTTCCTGGACAAATAACCAGAGCCTTATAGAACTTTTCATTGTCCTGGAGATAGATCACATGCAGTAAAATTTGACTACATGACTAACAATAAAGAAAAAGTTGAGAAATAGCAGAGAAAAATCAAAACTATATAATGGTAGAAAATCAGTGAGTTTGTGATCGTTTTATATTCAGTGAGTTATATCCTGGGATTATTTTTAATTTTGCGCCAATTATTAATATTTATTTTCATTTTCAATTGGCCTAATTTTCGTTCCATTTTTATTCTCAGTCAAATGTTTTTATTTATTTAAAAAAATTTATTTAATACATATCAATTAGTTTATACTATAATTATTAATATAATTGCGGGTTATATTTCCAGTCAATTATTAATAACAGATATATTTTCCAATTTACCTATACTATAGTTAATCTGTTTCCTTTTTGAAATAGTTCAATGATCATTTTTAATTTTCAGTCAATTATTATTATTCATTTCCTTTTTTCAATTGCCATATAATTAACATAGTCATTCAATAACGTAGTAACAATCTTCTCTGTGCAAAGTATTTTCAAAATACTTTGCCCATGTCATGACTATTTTATCTGGAAAATCAATGAGCTCGGATCCATATGTATCCCATATAATACATATACTATAGTTAATACGTTTCCTTTTCGAAATAGTTAGTCGGGGAACATTTAGAATTTTGAGTCAAATAGTAATATTCATTTCCCTTTTCAATTAGCCTAATTTTCAAATCATTTTTTAATTTCAATCAATTTTTTTTAATACATATAAATTAATTAATTATTAATAACAGATTATTTTTTAATATTTCCAGTCAATTATTAATAATAAATTCCTTTTTCAATTTACCTATACTATTGTTAAGTCGCTTCTTTTTCGAAATAGTTAATCGGGATAATTTTTAATTTTTAGTCAATTATTAATATGTATTTCCTTTTTCAATTGACATATAATTAACATAGTCAAGCAATAACGTAGTATCAATCTTCTCTGTGCAAAGTGTTCTCAAAATAGCATGCCCATTGCATAACTATTTTCTCCGGGAAATCAATGAGCTCAGATCCATATGTATCTCATATAATACATATACTATAGTTAATTGGTTTCTTATTCGAAATAGTTAATCGGGGATCATTTTTAATTTTCAGTCAATTATTAATATTCATTTCCTTTTTTTAATTGACCTAATTTCCGTGTCATTTTTAATCTCAGTCAATTATTATTATTTTGTTAGTTACTACATATCAATTAGTTAATTATTACTAACATATTATTTTTTTAATATTTTCAGTCAATTATTAATAACAGATGCATTTTTCAATTTATCTATACTATTTTTTTGGGCGATATGAGTATTTCTTTTTCTCATTTGAGTCAATTTGAGATCATTTTTAATTTGTAATCAAGTATTAACATTAATTTCATTTTCCAATTAGCTTAATTTCTGTGAGATTATTTATTCCAAGTCAATTATCGTAATCTAGAATTGTGTTAGGGATAGGGAAGTATAAAAAAAAAAAAATTGTAATAGGAATTGTATTACCATATTTTAATATACAATTGCAGTACGTATAGGAATTGTATTACCATATTTTACAATTTTATGCAAACCTAATAGTATAGGAGTCTTTTAGACGGGAAGTTAAAATGGAGGAAATAATATATTCTATTATGAATTATATTACCCTATTTTACAATGTTACGCAAACCTTAATAGTATAGAAATGTTTTGCGTGAGAAGTTAAAATTGAGGACTTTGTTTTTATTAATAGTATAGATTAGTATTATTAATTAGTAATTTTTTTCCTTTTCTATTAATTGGACGGGAATGCAAGGAAGGAGACTTTTGTTTTTAATAATAATATAGATAGACTGTAGTACGATTAAAAATAAGAATAATATTGTTGAATTGGAGTAGTGACGGAATAATTTTATTATTTTATTTACAAAAAAAAAAATGTTATCATGCCTTCTAATTTATAATGATCGACATGTAAAATGTTTTTACAATATTTTATACTCTATAACATTTTCAATCTAATATAGTTACATGATAATTTTAATATTGTTATATTGTATTATGAATAGGAATTTTAATATAGAATTGTAGTACGAATAGGAAAGTAATAAACAATATATTATATTACACTATTTTAATTTTTTTTTTTTTTGAAATGTAATTATAAAATGGAAAAAACAATAATGTGTATGATGCACCTCGTCTCCCAACCAATCCCACAGCTCTGGTGCAACTTATGAATGTGGGTCTAAAATAATAAGAGTTACAGAAGTGAAAAATGTATATTAATTGCTAATCAAATTTGAATGGTGATCAACCCCCAAAAAATATGGGAAGCCTTCATTGCCATCAAAGAACTTCAAAGCTTGTATGACAGCCTCCCTTCCAAATCTCAGCTCAACCAGCTTGCTTATTTGGTTTCAAAATTAGGTCAACGACCTATTTTGGAAGAATTTTCACATCATATAGTAACCAATTCTATCTGACGGTATTTTACAACTCATTCAATGTAACAGAAGAAAAAATGTTGATCAGAAAGAACGATTAAAAAAATTGATAAAAAATAGTATAGGACTGTTTTGAGCGAGAAGTTAAAATGGATGATTTTGTTTGGACAACCAAGACTAGTTTACCTCCTTGTGTTCATTTGTTGTCACCAAAGGAAAATTATGTTTTGCATCCGTGTGCACCATGCATGGTGCATACGGATGCAAATACGACGTCGTTCTGACTAAAAAAGCCCGTCCCACTTAAAAAAAAAAAAAAAAAAAAAAAAAAATCAGGTTCGATTCCCGGCAACAGCATTATGTTGTGCATAATTTGAACTATATATCCAGAATCAATGAACTAAAAATCCAGAATCAATGAACTAAAAATCCAGAATCAATGAACTAAAAATTCAGAATGAATGAACTAAAAATATCCAGTATGAATGGAAAAAAAAGTCAATCTCGATTTCCATCTAAATATCCAGAATCAATGAACTAAAAATCCAGAATCAACGAACTAAAAATCCAGAATCAATGAACTAAAAATCTAGAATCAATGAACTAAAAATCCAGAATCAACGAACTAAAAATCCAGAATCAATGAACTAAAAATCCAGAATCTATGAACTAAAAATCCAGAGTCTATGAACTAAAAATCCAGAATGAATGAACAACATAATACTGTTGAGGGGAATCGAAACTGAATTTTTAATTTTTTTTTAAGTGGGACGCGCGTTTTTAATCAAAACGACGTCGTTTTTGCATCCGTATGCATCATGCATGTTGCACACGGATGCACAACATAACGATTGGTCACCAAATCAATCCACTTCCAAATCTAAATTGAAAATTTTCTGTCACCAAATAAATTTTGCTTAGTATATCAGAATAATTGATACTCACGAGAAATTTTTAGACATCATATCTTCAAAATAATCCAAAAAGATTACAAAAAATGTTAACGAATAATAAGAATCTAGGTTCCAGATCAATCAAGCCATTAAAAACATGATTTTTTTAGAAACCCTAAAAACTAACATAAAAGAACAAAATTTAACTAAAGACAGAAGCTTTATTACCTGAGTGTCGAAACCAACCCGGGAACCGGACCGGAGAGATGGAGTCGAAACCAACCCGGGAACCGGACCGGAGAGATGGAGGAGAGCCCAACCCGGGAACCGGACCGGAGAGGTGGAGGAGAACAAGTGAGCAACGAAGCTTCTCTGCACTGGGCGGCGACGCGAGCCTGAGTTATACTATTATTATCTTATACGGAGTATTTTTATAATTTTTCAATTAGGAATTGTATTGTATTACGAATAGGAATTTTAGTCTGGAAAGCTCAACGAGTCATAGAGAGTGAGGGGGGCTTCTTGTGCGCAGTAAGCAAAGGTCTAGCCTCTGTGGTTCATGTTCTTTTAATGTAGAATTATAGTACGAATAGGAAAGTAAAAACAATATATTCTAATAGGAATTGTATTACACTATTTTATAATATTAGAATATGAATTTTAACATAGAATTATAGTACAAATAGGAAAGTAGAAAACAATATATTTTATTAAAAAGCGAGATTTTTTAGGAATTGGGCGGGAAGTTAAAGTTCATTATTTCGTTTTTATATATAGTATAGATTTAAATATTAGAATTAGAGTTTTCAAAAAAAAATATTAAATTAGAAATATTATCTTGATAAATTCAAATTAAATAATTATTTAAAAATTTAAAAATAAAAACATTTAAAAAAAAACAAAAAAAAAAAACAAAAACATAAACACAAATAACCCCTTCTTCTTCTTCTTCTTCTTCTTCTTCTTCTTCTTCTTCAATTTTTTTTATGTTTTAATTTTTAAATTTAATTATTTAATTTAAATTTATAAAAATAATATTTCTAATTTCAATATTTTTTTTGAAACTCTAATTTCAATCCTTATTTTTTTGTGTAATTAAATTTGATTTGACTAGGATGGTGTAAATAGCCATATTTACACTCAAATTGCTATTTTCATCATCTATAAAATTGTTGATTTTGTTACCTTTTTAGAATTTTAAGATTATTTACACCCTAAGGTGGTACAAATAGCAACACAATCACCTTATTATCTTAAACTAATTACTATGGGCTTAGGATTTGTGATAGTGAGGACCAAGAGTTGATTGAATTACTTGTCAAAATGGTTGTGTCGTTATTTATTTATTTATACTTGTGAGTCTGTTCAGTTGTATATACGGGTCTACGTGGATGATATCCTGGTTATGGGGTCTGACTCAGCTCATGTGTATGCTCTTGTGTCTAAAATGGGTGCTAAGTTCAAGATCCGTGATATGGATGTGCCTCTTTCTTGGTATTGAGACGGTTCATATTCCAAATGCTCTGGTTTTATCGCACCAGCGGTACATGAGGGACATTTTGAAACGCGCAGGTATGGTGGATTGCAAGGCACTTGCCACGTTGGTTTCTTTGACTCGTGTAGGTCGTGATGATCCGATTCCCTATGCTGATCCCACACCGTATCGGAGTCTTGCAGGGGCTCTACAGTATCTTACTATTACGAGGCCTGATCTTTCGTTTGTGGTGAATAGGTTATGTCACTATGCCAGCATATGCATGCGCCGACTACTAAGCACTGGGCTATGCTTAAGCGGGTTATGCGTTATATTCAGGGGACTATTCATCTTGGTCTGTGTTTTTGTAAGTCTACTTCTGTTGCCATTCATGCTTTTTCAGATTCCGATTGGGCCGGTGATCCGGTTGACAGGAAATCTACTAGTGGCTTGGCGATGTTCTTAGGCCAGAATTTGGTTTCGTGGGTGTGTCGGAAACAGCGTACTGTTGCCCGCTCTTCGACTGAGGCTGAGTACAAGGCATTGGCTGATTTTTCTGCTGAGGTTACGTGGTTGGTCTCGTTGTTCACTGAGGTATGGCTCCTGCCTCTCCGCGCAGGCTTTGGTGTGATAACCTAGGCGTTACGTACCTGTGTGGTAATCCGGTATTTCATGCTCGGACCAAGCACGTTGAAATTGACTACCCAGTGTGATAATTTGGTATTTCATGCACGGATCAAGCACGTTGAAATTGACTACCACTTTGTTCGTGACAAGGTAGCTAAAAAGGAGTTGCAGATTCATTTTATTTTGACCTAAGATTAGTTAGCTAATATTTTTACTAAGCCTCTCTCGGGCTCACGTTTTACCTTTCTTCGTAGCAAGCTCAATGTTGCTGCTCCTCAACCTTGTGCTTGGAAGGGGGCTACTCCTCAACCCTGTTGAGATGTGTTAGAACTCTTCTTTATGTCTTGTATATTCTCTTGTACGATGTATTGTGAATAATCAACATAGACTTCAAACCTCATCGTTGAAAGAAAAAATAAGCACCTCCTTGAAGTCTCTCGATGCATCATATTTTCAAATTATGTTGTATCTATTGTCACTCACCTCATAAACTATATGCCTAGTCACTTATAAGGTTCAAAACACCATGAACTCTGTTAATACAAGCATTCCTGCATCTCTTAGTTTTTTCTTTATAATTGCCACTCAAAATTTCTGGAAATGATCACAAAAGAACAAACCATGACCCCAAACTCTTCAGATGTATTTCTTTTGTCCATATCTATGAACAAAAAAAAAAAAAAACAAAACAAAAAAAAAAACAAAGCATGTCCCCAAATCTCATAAGTGCATCTTCACTAGGTGGGTATTCTAGTACTCAAAAGGGGTACAAATGTTACTCCCCAGCCATAAAAAGAGTTTATCATACATTGAATGTCACTTGAAAGTTGTTTATCGTATTCCAAGGTACCTCAAAATGACACCAGGTCTTGGGTTGCACTTCAGAAAACATGACAACCGAGACCTAGAACTACGCAGATTCTAGTTGGGCTGAAGAGTAGACTAATAGACCACATAGCTACTAATAATTTCAGTAATCAATTTCATTGTCTCACAGAACATAACATCTGCTCTGGCAATTCTTCAGACTTGTTACCCTGCTTCATTTCATTCACAACAGCAGAAGCTTTGATCAGCAAGAATGGCAGAAGCATTGGTTTCAATTGCAAAGAATGAACATAAAAGCTTGTCTGAATTGTGAGCCCAAAATCCAAGATGCAAAGCTTTAGCCTATCTAAGAAATCCCTTCCTAGACAAACCAGAAACCAAATTAGCATTATCACGGGTGGCAGTTATGTAGATTAAAGTTTTTGGAGTATCAGAAAGCATTAGCATAGCATTCCTTAAAATATCTGAAGGAAATAGATCATCTTTGCCATGTTATTGTCATTAATATTAAATTTATAAAAAGACTGGTGTCATTAATCTTCACAGCTCATCGTAGTGTTGAGAGAACAAACTTACAAATAAAGAAGGGCAGTGTATGAAATAAGTGATACCTTAAGATTCACGTCAATTATAGGTGGAAGCCTCCCAGAAGTTCCACAAGCTGAGATATAAAAATACATCATCACCAAAGGGGTAATATGCTGCGTTTTTTGGAGCAAAATCCATCTTTTTATGCCTGCAACAGAATATAGATAAATGGGAAAAAATGGAATTGCAAAGCAAGACAGGCAGGCATAAATGATATTACTAGGGAGCAGATGGATGCAGATTCTTATACACACAGACAACCAAAATTCTCACACATGATTACATTAATAAGATGGGTGCAATTGCTTATCGAAAATAGTTCTCTCCTCGAACTTTGAAAGTAGCTGCTTCAATACATGACCAACTGTCTGACAATCGCTTTTCTAAGGGACAAAATGGCACTTGGAAGTTGGGAGCCGGCTATTGGTCTTCGCAAAAGTGACTTCGATGAAACTGCAAAAGGAGATTTTTGTGCAGAATAGTAATTTTATGAAACAAGACATGCCTTTTGGCCATGCCCACGATTCCCCAATCAACAGCAGGCAGCAGAAGGAAAACTTAAGAAATGGCAATATGTATACACATATACATCTTTGAAGAATTTTACACTGGTTTTTTAGGATCAAAGTAACACTGCAGCTCCTCCCAGTTTGCAGGGATACTATTTTCCCGACAAAAGGAAATGAAAGGGGAAAAATTGCCAGTATAATATATACAATTATACATAACATTGAGAGCAAATCAACATTAGTGTACATGTACTAACAATTTATTTTCAAAATGATGATGATTTAGCTGAAGCTTTAAAATGACGGTGGATGAATATTTCCAATCCTTTAAAATCATTAAAAGAAATAGACTATCATTAACGCAGAGCCCTAGCTGCCTACTTGGCGTTTTTTAACTGTAGATTAAGAGTGCTTAAGCAAATAATACTTGCAATGAACCTCAAGAAAACAAAATGCAGCAGTTGAGGATGACAAAATACAAGAATGATGAAATGGAAATGTCAAAGAAATGTCCTGTATTCTTGAAAAGGCTGGAAAAGTAATGAAACATTTTCACTAATGTACTATTGCAACTAACAGACTTGACTATAAAATTTTCAGAAAAGAAAAAACTAATGAAACATTTTATTTAAGAAGAAATAGTAGATTATAAAATTTGACTACTGTATTCTTGAAAAGGCTGGAAAAAATATTCAAAACACTTTAGTTAAACACAACAGAATATTTCACTAATGTACTATTGCAACTAACAGACTTGACTCAAGAAATATGCACACATTTGAACAAGAAGATGGAACACAAACCTTTTATGAAAGATACTGCTTTCTCAACTACTAACTTAAGGGGATTATTTTGACCTGCAGAGAATGCCATTTGAACCTTACTTTCCCACAACTAAATATCTGAAAGCTACTGCTACTTCCTACAGGATGGTATATTATTTTTACTATAATATAAGACAATGGATCATCATGCATCACATTAAGTGAAAGGGAAATATATGCAGTGTGACAACAATGGAATTCCGTATACTAAGCAAAGAAAAGAACGATATAAAATAACTGAAGATATCAGTATGTCATTGTTCTTAAATGGAGTGGTTCTGTTGCAGGGTACAAAAGATTTACCAGTCCATCAATCACGGTGACTTAGCTGCACAAATATAATAAGAAAATGTTTGTCCAAATAACCCCACTGGGGTTCCAAGAAACATTATGTCCCTCTGCCTTTAGCTAGTCTATGAGACACTTCTAAATTTTTACATAACAGAGCTCCCTACATCAAATCAGCAAAGATGCACCAAAGCTCCTTATCTGCAGAGCACCTCTTCCTTCTCATGTAATTAAATTATTTTTTACTTCATCATACTCTTTTAACATCAAGAACTATTATGTTGTTAAAAGCATAGATGCTGAGACCCAAACTTGTGGAATCTATGAGGTACAGTGCTAAATGAACTGGGAGTGAAATCTCTGAAAACATTCCTCCAAAAGTAGCAATCCATGAACAAGCAGAGAAGCTAAAACATTCCAAATATGTAGTTACTTTACACAATTTGCTGCAAATTTCTGCATCACCTTTAGTACTGTCTCATCTCCACTGTTAAGTGCAAGTAAGTCGTTTATGAAGACCAATGTGTGCTCATTTGGAGAAATACCCTTACCAACCATTTCACCCAAAAGTAGATTTGCCTCGTGACATTTTTCCTGTCTAACAAATTCTTGCAAAATAGCATTATAAGTCACAGTATCTGGTAAGCAGTCATTCTTCTCCATTTTCCTTAACAACTCTAAGGCTTCATCTAAAAATCCTTCTCGACAAAGCCCATATATCATTACATTGTATGTAACCACATCTAGGTGTTGCCCTGTAGAGATGAGGTCATTGAATACATCGCGTGCAGCAGAACTTCTACCCACCAGAAATAACCCCTTCAACATTGTGGTATAAGTAATAACATCAGGATGAAACCCTTTTTGAGGAATTTCACAAAACAGATGCATGGCCTCATCCATTTCTCTTATTTTAAAGTATCCATTAATTAATATGCTATAGGTTCTAACATTAGGTTGAAGGCCACTTTCTACCACCCGACCAAAAGCTTTCCTCGCTTCATCCATCCGTCCTTGCAAACAGTACCCCTCAATAAGAGTGTTGTATGTGATGACATCAGGATAAATCTTCCTTTGAATCATGATCTGAATAATAGTTTCTGCACTTTCCAACTTCCCCTCCTTACAGAGGGCATCCATTAATACATTGAAAACATACACATTTGGATATACATTATGTAGAACCATCTCATTCATTAACTTGGTAACCCCTTTCCATCGGCTAAAATTGCAAAGGCCTTGAATCAGAGAAGTGTATGTGATGATATTCGGGGGAACTCCTCCCTCAATCATCTCAGAGAGAAGGCCAAGAGCCTGATCAACCATTCTGTCTTTGCATAGAGAAGCAATTACAGTGTTATAGGATATAGTATTAGGCTTAGGTCCCTCCTTTTGCATTACTACAAGTAAATCAAGAGCAATTTGTGTATGACCTGCCTTGCAAAGCCCATTTACAAGAATACCATAAGTAATTTGATCAACTTTGCACACATTTTCCCTCACCAACTTCTTGAATAGCCCTACAGCCTCCGCAATGTTATTATCCAGAACGAGGCCATTAATCAGAGTGTTGAATGTGACCACACCAAACTCAAATCCACACTTGAAGACCACACCAAGTACACAAAACCCGCAATCTACTCGACTTGAGCGACAGTACACATCCATCAGAATGCTAATGGTATACACATCGATGGGGATGCCCTTAATGCGCATTTCTTGAAAGAGGGAAACAACTACGGAATAATGCTTCAATTTCAGAATTCTACAAAGCAGTTTGTTGAACTGAATAACAGAGGGCAAGGGCCTGGTATGAGCCATTTGACGGAATAACTTTAGGGCATCGTCTAAATCATTAGAGCTTTTTTTGAATTTGGATTGATTCGAAGAAACTGAGTTATTATGATTTGAAGAAACCGTACCTGCCTCTGTTTCCGCCGCAAAATTGGGCGAAATGGGAGTAGAGCTTGCTGTTCTTACTCTCCTCCAACTCAGGTTAGTGAAGAACCAAGACAAAGCATTTCTCTTTGTTTTCATTTTCAAGAATGAAAATGAAATGAAAGTTAGGGCTTTGAGTAAAGAAAGAAAATTGTTTCCATCCAACAGAGAAGAAGAAGAAGAAGAAACTCAGAAAGTTAAGACTGGAAATTTGTTGAGACTGGAAAATAGAAAACAAAAACAAGTTTACTAAGTACAATTTTTTATTTTGAAAACTGAAAATAATTTCTAAAAGTTTGTGAAAAATTAGAATACTCTTAAAAACTGTTTTCTAAATAGAAAACATAATCATCTATCATCTATCATCTATCATCTACCATTTATCTTCTATTTAGTTACATGTCACTATAATAACATTAATATGATTACATTCATTATTATCTTATTTTACTTATCATTATCTTCTATCTTTTCTACTTACTTTACTTATTTAAACATAACTTATTTGCTTACACTTTAAAGTTAGACATTATTTACATTATCAAAATTAAAAATTAAACTCTATATAATGTTTTAGATTTTGATTAAACTCAATAGATTATTAGTTCGAATATTTTTTAATTATGTTACATCGTAATACAAGTTCGGTTCAGATATCGGATATTGAAATCTCACATATATTAGAATTTAAAGTAAAAGTTATATATTCATATACATGCCATTCAAATGAATATATCCAAAAAATATTTTAAATATTAGCTCAAAAAATATTAATATTATCTAAACTAAATTTTATGTGAAAACTGAAAAATTAAAAAACAGAAAATAGAGAACAGTTTTCGGTTAGTAAACAAGTTTTCAAGAGAAAACAGAGAATGAAAATTGAAAAATTAGAAAATAGAAAACAGAGAACAGTTTTCTATTAGTAAACGGACCCCGACTTTGAGTAAAGGAGCTTTATTGATTTTGTTCTTAATATCTAACTAGTATTTTCACACGTGCACGGAATGAATTTATTATAATATTTTAAAAATATTTGAATTTATATCTACATACAAATATAATAAGAGCCAATAATATTAGGCTTTTAACTGGAACAAAAAAATGTAAGTGTAATTGTTTCTTGAAATGATTGGTTCATATTATTTTAATTTTAGTATTTTTTTTTTATGATTCTCCCTTATTTACCATCTATTATATTATTTTCTTCCATTAAATAATCCTGGATTTCGTTAGTATAAACTTTAGTAACGGAATATTACGTTAACTATTTATTATTCTTAACTTACTCATTAGTTTCTATAAGAGAGGTCTTAGGTTTGAACCTCATCCCAATCAGAGTTGGCATAATTGTTAAATATATACTACGAATATGTTAAAATATACAGGAGTATTAAAAAACTAAGTACAATATAAAATTTAACATAGACTTTGGTCAAATAATTAACCCGACTAAATACAAAATATTCAAAGTAAAGTTGAGCATCAAATATTATAAATCATGAACTTTAAAAATCATTTTCTTGCATTAAAAAAAAACAAACAAACAAATTTAGGTTAAATTTTTTTTTTTCGTTTAATTAATCTTCGTTTGATTATTTAGAACAAAACTCAATATTTCAATTATGCATTTTGTATTATTGAAATGATTTAGCTCATTATGGTATTAATATTTTTTTGTATGTCTTTTTATAACGGTACAATTGTACATTACTTTACAAATATTAAATATTATTTTTTTATCGGACAAAATTGTTCTTACGTCATTGCCAGACATGCGCGACCTAATTACAAAGTTGTTGATCAGAAATACAATTACACCTGGACTCTAAAATGATAAGACAACTTTCTAAATAATTGACAATGTTACATCTCACTAGCTCAAATTGAACAAGTTTACACATCATTCTTAGAATTTTATCCATGTATGAAAGCTTCTAAAAAAAATCTGTAAGTTAATTTTTATTATATCATTATAACGATATCTATTGTAACAATATATTTTGAATTATTTATTATCATCATCTATTGACAGCAATTGTAGCAATTTTCACTGACAAACTTCCAAAACAATTTATCTCAACAACGAATGTAAATTAAAAAAATTAATGACTTTAATGTTGTTGATGAAAAGTATGTACGCCACTTTATTACTCTTATTAAATTAAATAAATTGGTAGCTACAAAAAAAAATACATATGCATTTAATTAATTTAGAATTAGATGTCTATAATGTCATTATTAAAAAAAAAATGTATTCATTATAAACAATTTAAAAAGAGATATAATTTCATTAGTTATATTATATTTATTTTCTACAACCTTCAAAAAAAAATATTTATTTTCTACAATTCAAAGATTTCTTACCTTCAATTCAAATTCATTAATTAATTATATTCACTACATTGTCCATTGTCTTCTTTTTACATTATCTTGTAATTAAATATCAAAATTATACTACAAAATATGTTATATATTTATTTACTAAGTATTTTATAGAAATATAATAAATATTAATATTTTGTTTAATACTTTCACATGATAATCTATGACATACATCTCACAACACAAGAAACATGTAGGGAAAAACTACCACTACCAAATATCAATATTTAGACTAGCGTTATTACAAAGTTGCAAACATTTATTTGCATTTATATACTTTAAACAAAGTCAACATTCAATTACCTATGCAAGAAAATCTCCTATATAATATTGCATTGATATACTTTGAAGTACTTATTATTTTTTTTAAAAGGAAAAGTATCATTTATTTCACACCAAAAGAATGTCATGCAAGACTCTAGATCCAAAAGTGATCTAGAGTTTTAGAACTACCAATCTAAGTTATTTGACTATACAATCAAATGGTCAAAAAATCAACTTTCTATGGCTATTGCTTCCACCTTAGCTGCTCCACATAGTCTCACAACCGGCCCTAGCATGCATCAACCCATGTTACTCCATTGCCATAGCGTCACTATGCTCCACCCACAATGTCGTAGCCCCCAATTAAGTCATCCAAGAGGTGAGACCTAGTCTAAACCAGTGCTCCATGCTTTTCACCATTGACCTCGGATCTCACATATGCAAGTCACTATAGGTAGTTGCCACCCTCCAAATCTGTTAGTCAAGCAATTACATTACCCCCGATCCTTCAACTCTTCCCACAATGGTCCATCCCACACTTCAAAATGGCAAAGTCCTATAGAGATCCACTTTTGATCCCTTACCCCCACCCTTAGGCCAATAATGATAGGCATCCCCGTGTAGCGAACTACATTTTGCCGGAGAGCCCATTTTGTCCTCAACCTAAGCAATGGGAACTACCCCCAAGGCTAAAGAAAGCCCCCCTGCATAGCGTACTGTGTTTTAAATCAGAGGAACCCTTTATACTAGAGCCAAGGGCAATAAAAACAAAGGAACCCACCCTCTAGGTAAAGGCAAGTCAAGCCCGTACAGAGCTTTGTATTTTCTCGGGAAAACCCTTTTGTGCCCCACCTAGAGCGATGAGCCAAGGCACCATCACCATTCCAGCTTTCTAAACTTTCCTTTTTTTAACCTCTTTTTCCATTCTATTCCTTCCTTTTCTGTTTTTCCTTTTCCTTTCTTTTGAATTTTCATTTTCCATGCAACATTGTGGTATACGTAATAACATCAGGATGAAACCCTTGTTAAGTCATTTCACAAAACAGATGAATGGCCTCATCCATTTCTTTTATTTTACAGTATCCATTAATTAATATGTTAATAGGTTCTAACATTAGGTTGGAGGCCACTTTCTACCACCCAACCAAAAGCTTTCCTCGCTTCATCCATCCGTCCTTGCAAACAATACCCCTCAATAAGAGTGTTGTATGTGATGACATCAGTATAAATCTTCCTTTGAATCATGATCTGAATAATAGTTTCTGCACTTTCCAACTTCCCCTCCTTACAGAGGGCATCCATTAATATATACATTGGAAACATACACACCTGGATATACATTATGTAGCACCTCAATAAGAGCTTGACTCCAGTTATATTCTCTTTTTGTAGCATGTGCAGTCACTGTGGGTAGTGACTGTGACGATAACACCCTTGTCGGATGTTTTATTTATAGATTTAATCTCGTTAAGTTTATCTTTGAAAGTTAAGTAACTGTGGTTTAGTGTTAAGAAAAGTGGGGTATTACAAATTTACAATATGAGATTTCAAAGTATAAACTTAATATTCAAACACTAATGAGTTCAAACCAAAAGGGACCCAGCATTTTGAATAATGATGTAATGGATATACTTTGAATTTTAAACTGTAAGCCCATGACAAAATATTTTAATGCATAAAGATCAAATTTATGAGAAATATCTGAATTCAAAAATTATAACAATATCAAGCAAAAGGATATGCTATCATTTTAATTCAAAATTCTCACAAAACCTAATTGCATAATTAAACTCAATATTATGCACTTAATGTAATCAAATGCACAAAACAATCTAAAGAGTATTAAAATACACCAAATATTCATTTATTCATACTTAACTAAATATGGGCAGAAACATTAATCATAATTCAAAGACTAAATGAATTATGGAATAAATGTACAGTAATGACAATAGTCAGTTGCCTTTTAAAAAAAAAAATTATCTGAAACATTGCCACATTAACACAATTAAAAACAGTTCAAGATTCATAAATAAAATCATAATAATGCTATCATTAAAGTATTAATGGTAATAAGTAACCTTGTAATCACCATTAGCATTTAATAATAACAACCAAAATATGGTAATACACCTTCTTAATGTTTCTATTTTTCTTAAATAAAGAAATAAAATGTGGCAATTTCAAAATATAGCAATCAAACTATAACTGTAGCACTAATTACCAAAAATAATGATAAAACTTAATGACTTACCATAATGATGCAAATCGCATCTCCCATAGTGCTAAAACTCTCCCATCTTCACCGTTAGTAACCTTAATGCAACGTCCAATGGTACGTAACAATAACCACCAAATAGGTAATCTTTTCAAACATAATAGATTACCAAGCAATAATTATTATTATGAAAGGTAATAAATGAGATTAGCCCCTAAATTTAATAACAGTAATTAATAATGTCATTTATTAACTGTAATAAAAAGGTAAAACTATAATTAAGGGGATACCGAATGCCAATCT